CTCATGCCTGTAATCCTAGCTACTCAGGAGGCAGAGATTAGGAGGATTGTGGTTCAAAGGCAGCCTGGGCAAATAGTTCTTGAGCTCCCATCTTGAAAAACCCTTCACACACACACAAAAAGTCACCCCTCCATCATTCTCCTTTATCCCTCCTTCCCCCTTAGAATAGTTTCAACAGATCTCATTTTTCCATTTTTGTACATGGGTACACCATATTCACCCTTCTATACCCTTTCCTTGTGTCTTCCCCCCTCACACTGGCACCAACCCCCAGACAGGACCTGTTTTACCTTCCCGTCCTCCATTTTCAATAAAAACATTTCTGTTTGTTTAAAATAGCTGTATGTAGCATTTCATTATGACATTTCCATGTAGATATGTATTATATTCAGAATAGGTATAAACTCATCTGCTCCATTTTTCTCCTTTCTACCTTATTCCCCTTCTTATGGTGATTTCAACAGGTTTAAAAAATTTTATATTCATCTTCTTATAGAAAGTACATCAGCCATATTCACCTTCTTTATTTCCTTCTTTTATCCTCCTCTTGTTAATATCCTCCCCTTAGCTTGATCTGTTTTTCATTCCCTTTTTTTTTTTTTTTTTGCAGTACTGGGGTTTGAACTCAGGGCCTCAAGCTGGCTAGGAAGGCGCTCTACCACTTGAGTCACTGAGCCAGTCCTCTTTTGTGATGGGTTTATTTTTTTTTATAACAAAGTATTTATGTTGTTTATTTTGGAAACATATTTTGGAAATACGTTTCAAAGAATCCTGGTTTTCCCTATTTGATAATATAAAAGTATAATTTTTCAAACTTTTGATCCTTCATTGGTTGCATTTCTTTGTGCTGGAGTCAGATCAGGGGTTTCCACAGCCAGGCATGGACCCAGCCCCAGGGCCATGAGATGAGCTAGTCCAAACTCAGGCACATTCCTGGCTCACAAAGGTTTGAAGTAATCAGTCAAGCATATTTTGCCTCCCCTGTACATTTTTGCTGTCTTCCATCCAGCTCAGGGACTACAGTTTCTGGAGCAGTAGTGGGATATGTAATAGAAATGTCAAACTCCATGTCAAACTCATATTTGAGGAGGTCATGGATGTATCAGCATTTTCCAAACCACTGGGTCCCTTCCATGTTGGACTCTAGTTGGAACCAATCATTGTCTGCATTCTTGTTCTCCACATGCCAGATAAGGGAGTGATATTCCTCCTTTAGTCGCTGTACCCACAACTCCTGATCCTGAGGTCTAGCGTTGGTTTTTAGCACTGGGAGCTCAGACACGACCTGCTGGGTGTCCTCATCTGGCATCTTGGACCAGGACAACCATGGAATTGTTCTGTACCTTGATTGCGGTGGTGGATATAAGATTATAATCTATGTGTGTGATAAAATGATGTAGACCTATATCCAACATTATACCGATGTCAACTTTCTGACTTTGTTTTGATACTGTAATTATGTACCCAGAGTCCTAGGCCAGAGGCCTGATTTCAGGGGTTCCAACACATCATGTCTGGACACTTGCTCCCAAAGAAAGCAAATAAAAGTCATAGTGAAAAGGCAGGATTTTCATCAAAATGGCCGTTTTGGAAGATGGAAAGTAAGTATCTCAGTCCATCTTAGGTTATTCACGTGAGTATTAGGTTTAACTAGAGGAAGTACTGGGGCAGAGGTATGCATAGTTAAGCAGTCTTGGTTAAACTGTGATCTGGTTGATCATTATTTCAGTTCTGTTTGCACATGATGGCTGACCCAAAGAAGTCCTTATCTCTTGAAGGGACAATCCATTTTCCATGAGATGATTGCTCCTGCTTTGGAGTGATCTCATCATGGAGTGAGCAGTCTTCTAGACTGCTATTCCTGGAATCCAAGATGACTGCAGGACTTCCAGTTACCTTTTTCAGGGTAACAGGACATTGCAAAATCTGACCCTAAGATACCTCAGTTACTCTTATCTCTGTGCCTTCAGCCTTGATAGGAAATGAGATATATTGGGTATTGATTGCTGGTTTTTAGATAGACACTCCTTGAGTGATTAACATGCATATGTGCAAGGGACTGACTCAAAGTTTTAAGACAAAAGAGAGATGCAAAATGGAGGCAGGAGTGCTAGGCTTTCATCCTTCTTTTCCTTACCTGTGAGCCTAAAGGAGGACTTAGTTTTAGCCAAAGCAGTTTCTAAGTACCTATTTTAATTATATAAACTGTAACTATTGGTAGAAAGTGGATGGACATACACTGGGACCTGTCATTTTCTTTGAAACTTCCAATGAATCTATAATTATTATTATTTTAAAAATTACCATCCTTTACATAGTAGGTGGCATGAACCCCCTGCAGTTATAATTCAGGAAGAAGCCCACTTCTGCCATCCCAGTGTTCTTCCTGACTTATTGCTAACACACTGTCTCTTCTCACACTTACTTGTTATGTTTTGGTTCCTAAGCATGTCTCCATGTTCACTGAGGGAAGGATTTGGATTTCAGCCCCCAGATTTTTTTTTTATTGTTGTGCTAGGCATTTACAAAAGTTCTTACAATATATCAAATATGTCATTCTTGAACTCACCCCCTTCACCATTCTCCTTTATTCCGCTTTGCTGCCATTCCTAAAACAGTTTCAACAGGTATCATTTTTCCATATACATACATGTATACACAGTATTTGCACTATAATCACCCTCCCACAACCTTTTCCTACCTTCCCCTCTTCCCCACTGGTACCAACCCCCCAGGCAGGCAGGTAGGTCCTGTTCTGCCCTCCTGTTCTCTGATTTTGTAAAATAAAAAAAAATGACATTTTTGTTTGTATAAGATAGCTACATAGAGTTTCTTTCTGACATTTCCATGTATAAGTGTATTATAACCTGGATTGGTTCATCTTCTCTATTTTTCCTCTTTCTGCCTTTGTCCCCTTTTTATGGTGGTTTCAACAGGTTTAAAAATTCTATATCCATTCTTGTATAGAGGGTACATTAGCCATATTCACCTTCTTAATCTTCTTCTTTTACCCTGTTCCTCCCATATGTGACCTCCCCTTACTGTGACCTGTTTTTCATAATATTGCTGTATTTGTATTAGGTCTATATTCCACATATGAGAGAAACTTATGTGGCTTTTGTACCTGGCTAACTTCACTTAAGATGGTGTTCTCCAGATCCATCCATTTACCTGCAAATGACAAAGTTTCATTCTTCTTTGTGTCTAAATAAAATTCCATTGTACATAAATACCACATTATCTTAATCCATCCATCAGTAGTGATCAGCCCCCAGATTTAAGAGTGGTTGTTTTGTATGTGAACTTCATGAGTGAGATATAGTGGGGTCTGTGAGAGGGGGTGCCAATGGCCTTTGTGGGACTGGGCTATAAGTAGGGAAGGAGGCAGATAACCACACTCATTAGGGAGATAACTGGGGCATAGATGAATCAGTGCTGGGAGAAACAATTTGCCATGTGGCCTCAATGTCCCCATACATTCCTTCTGGATATGCTATGAATGTAAAGCCCTGACTGCTCTTTGCTAGGACTGTTCTTTGCTAGCGTTGTGTTTTAGTGAGCAACTTTGAGGAATAAAGTAATACCTAACCCCACCCCAACAAAGAGCAGGATTGCTTATTACTTGCTATAAAATTGACAAGTTCTCTGAACTCAGTGCTTTTCAGATGCAGTGCCTGCCTACTGCAGGCATAGTGTACACTGGTGCGTCCTAGGTTGACCCCTTGGGCGTTAAGGACATTGGATATTCATGTTGCTGGAGTAATAAGTCCTTTGTTTCTGATCCATGAGTCTTGTGTTTTCTGTTAACCCCATGAAACCTTAGCAGGTTCACTTGTTAGTTAGTATGCAAGCAGAATAAAATCCTAGACCCCACTGGAGAGGGGTTCCTGGGTACTGTGCTGTTCTGTCCTAGCTGTAGGCTCTGCAGAGAACCATACTATCTCAGCTGCTCTGAACCCTTCCAGAGGGCATCTTGTTGTTACCCTCTCACTTTATAGCTACCTTGTCTCTTCCTGTGGTCCTCTATGTGATTAACTCACACCCTTAACAGGTCCCTTAGTGGCAAAATTCAGGCCTGGCCACTGCCAAATGGTGGGTTTCTCTAGAACTTATTCATCCCTGTGCCCAGTAACTGCATTATTATCTCTCTGCTTGAAAGTTATCATCAGTATCAACTCCATCTATCTGCTTCTTTACTTCTCAGGTCTGCTGGGAAAGAAGATCCAGGGGGGACAGGGAAAAGTATGGAAGGCAAAATACAACCCTGTGCCTTCTGAAAACATATATTCATTCAAACACTTAACATATTGATTGCTAAATATCTCCAAAGTGAATCACTAATTGTTTCAGGAGCACAAAAAAAAAAAAAAAGAAAGAAAAGAAAAGAAAAATAAGACTGAACAACTGAGCATTTGAAGTTATGTTTGGAATTATGTTTAGGCTTGAGCCACTTTGGATTAGGATTGTGATCTCAGACAGGTTGGCTAATCTTTTTGAGAAGTAGTTTTCCTTATTTGTAATTCAAAGTAATGTTAGAATGTGTACCTCAGGAATTGTTGTGATAACATGGAAAAAGCATTGAGCTTATTGCTGGCGACCCAGTTGCCTCCAAGTAACTAAGTTTCTACCTTCCCTTAAAATTCTCAGTTATTGCAGGTAGAGGAATGGAGATGGGGATAGGAGCTAGGGCTAGACTCAGATTAAAATGAAAAAAGAAGAGACCTAGCCCTCAGAATTCAACTCTAAAATTACTTGGATGACACCCAGAATGTAGATTAAAAACACTTTGCAATAGTTTTAAATTCAATGAATGCTTTATTTTTATCACTGTATCACATAGTAGTCAAATATTTGAGGGACTCTATTCCTTGGTTTTAGGTGGCACCTTTTGGTCTGGCATCTTTTGACAAAGGTGGAGATAAAATGAGAATGGGTTTTGATTCTTTTCCTAGTGGACCAAGGTGATTGAAATTCCCTCAATTTCTGGGTACCATAAAGTTCTATAGTTCAGTTTTAGAGTAGGGCTCTTTTGTGTCCCCAAGACCTCTTGTTAAAGCCAAGTCTACAACCTCTTGTATGCTCTTTGCTGCTATGAGCCCTGATTTAATGGCAGTGTCAATCCAGCCATGTGGCAAGGCTGTGTGCTCACCAGCAAAGTAGACATGCCCTTCTGGACGGCTGAGCTCTTGGGCATAGTCCACATATTGATAGGGGGTGAAAAAGGCAAAGGCACCGAAGGAATAAGGATCCTGGCCCCAGTGCTTGACCATGGAGTAGGGGCACAGGCTCTGCAGCTCCTCTTTTGGGTAGTCATGGACAGCAGCTAGGTCATCCAAGACAACATCCACCACACGGGCATGGTTCATAGCAGAAAAGAACAAGGAGTCATCCTCCATGGTAAAGGATGCTAAGATGACCCCTGTACCATTGGGGAAGATGTGACTGGGGTAGTAGATGAAGCGGGAAGGGCGGTCCGTGATGGACTTGCCACCAAAGATGCCGTCACGTTCCCAGAAACGCTGTGTACAGGCCAGAATCACTTTGGTGGCACTATTGTAGTGGACCGAATGTAGAGCATCCTCCTTGCTGATGGAGAGGGGTGGTTGGAATCGAAGGAGCCGGGCAGCCTTGGCAGTGGTGGCCACCACCACGAAATCAGCACTCAGGCGTGCTCTGGGCTGCAGAGGGTCTGGTGTCCTGTAGGTGATGAGGACTTGGTCTCTGGACATCTCCACTTCTTCTGCTGGTGAGTGAAACCAGACTGTTCCTGGAAAGAGGGCATGATGCAAGGCTTGGGGGAGTTGGTCAAAGCCCCCGGTGATTTCATGGAACCTGAGATCAAACAGGCAAAGGAGGAAAAGGGAAACAGGTTGATTGATGGGGATGCAGAGGATGGGGCAATTGGACTAGACAGAGGCTGAGTTATCTAATGGACATGTTATGGCCATGTGTTAGGGAGATAAACAGTTGGCAAAAGAATCAACACAAGGCAGAGTGTCTGTTAGCTTCAGGAAACTAGAGGAAATTGCTACTTTGGGCTGACCAACCAGAAAAATGCATATCCCCTGGCTTATACAGCTTCCCAACTCTCAGTCACTTCCCTCCTGTCCCTCAATGGTCATGCAGGATGCCTGGTTTTGAAGCTGACAATGACTCAGGGTTCTTATGGACATGCTCAGCGTCTCCCATAATGTCCTCAGAGAGTGTTCAGCACAGAGTAGCCCTCAAAGAATGCAACCTAAACACCACTATGATCCTTCACTTGATCTGCCTTCTATTCTCCCTTATGGCAGTTATTGGATTGAGTTTAAATTGATTATCCTTGGACAAAAAGGCTGAGGAGAAGTGGGAGAATGCAAGTAGGGAAAGAAGAGGACTGGATGCCCAAATAAATAAATCTTTTAGGGCTCAGTTGTCCTTTTATAAATGTCTATTGCTTGTTTTGTCTGATCACAAAGTCCTGAATGAGAGCACTCCAGGTTGTTTTACCTTTATAACTACAGATCACATGGCCAGTAACCAAGCTGGGGTCTGGATTTTGCATCTCTGATACATCTTCCTGGACTAAATAAGAGCAAGTGTTTCCTGGAGCAGAACAGGGACCACAGTCTGTGTCATAGAGCAAGTGAAGCCCACAGCAAAACAAATTTAAGGACTCCTGATAGTCCCTTAGCCAGAGTCTCAAAGGGAACAGGGGTCCAAGATAGGCAACAGAAGTATCACTGAGAACATGCAGAAATGCATTTTCTCAGGTCCCAGGTCTACTGACTGTGGGGATAATGCCCGGCTTTCTATGCTTAACCAGCCACCCACCCTCCCCTCTGTGATTCTGAGGCTCACTGGAATTTGGAAACTCCAGCCACCCACCCTCCCCTCTGTGATTCTGAGGCTCACTGGAATTTGGAAACTCCTGCCTCCTTCCTGTCTCACTCTCATTTCTTTTGGGATTTTCACCTGGTTTGTCTACTACTTCCTTCTACAACTGTGTTTGTTAGTAACTGGCTAACCCATGCCCATTCTCCCCACCCCATTTCCTACTGGGGGTCCTGGAAGAAGGAGAGGAAGACATGCAGGGTGTCTGTGAAGGACTTATAGTAGGCAGAATCTTCGCTCAGCAGGTCCTGGATCATCTGCATTGCCCCGAGGCTCAGATTCCCCACCTTGATCAGGTACTCCTGTGATCATGTGCAGGAAAAGACAAGCAGGTCAGAATGTCCAGGGAGGTAACATGAGAGCCCTTGCTTCCCACCCAGGGACAGCAAGGAACAGAATTGGACAGGGTACAATAGCAGATGTGCACTCAGTTGGGCCCCAAGGGGTTGCCTTGCACATAGGACTTAGAGGACGGTGTTCAAAATGATCTTCTTGCTTCCAGTAACAGGGAATATAGCTAACACTTGATATGCTTTCAATGTACAAATCTTCTTCCTAGTCTTTCACTTGTATAATCCTCATGTATAATCACAAGAACCTTTGTTTTACTGGTGGAGAAACTGAGGCCCAGTCTTCATATCTATCTGCAAGTATGTGGATCAGAGCCTGGCTTCTCTGATCGTACCTATAACACCAAGCTAGGGGGAATCTGAATCCCACATATTTCTTCTTATCCTGACCTGACCTCACCTCCTATCCTATTACTTGGTTGTCCTGGCCAGTCCACCAATAAATGATTGTGAAGTTTCGCTCCTGGTACGCTCATTAGGCAGTGATTATACTCTGTGCTTTGCCCTGCTCCTTTTCCCAGCAAGGTCAGATGGCCACAACAGAGCTGGCTAGGATAGCTTCACCGATTAGGGTGGCCCATCATCTGGTCTGTGTAGGGCTGAGTTGGTCTTCTGTCATCAGTGCAGATAGCACTAAACTGAAGGTTCAGCACCTAGGCAGCAGGTCTGAAAGGAGCTTCCAAGATGGCAGCCTAGCATTAGGCTGGACAAGATGCCTCTATTAGATATGCTAGTTTAAATCAGAGATTAGCCTCAGGGCCTCACCACTCCAGGAACAGCAACATCAAGAAGTGCTACACAGACATGTGGACCAGTGTATCAGAATAGAAAGCCCAGAAATAAGCCAACACAACTACAGCCATCTGATTCTCTACAAAGGTGTAGAAAACATGTTGGAGAAAGGACAGCCTCTTCAACAAATGACACTGGTAAAATTGAATATCCACATGTAAAAGAGTGGCAAACTGTTCTGCCTCTCACCCTGTACAAAAATAAATTCAAAGTGGATCAAAGACTTTAATGTAAGATTTGGGACTCTGAAACTAATTATGTAATTATTAGAGGAAAGGCTGAAGATCTAGGCTTTTTTTTTTTGAGCTCTTGAGTCACTCCGTCAGCCCTTTCTTGTGATGGGGTTTTCAAGGTAGGATCTCTTGAACTATTTGTCTGGGACGGCTTCAAACCTCCATCCTCCTGATCTCAGCTTCCTGAGTAGCTGGGATTATAGACATGAGCCACCTGTGCCTGGCAAAGTTTTAGTTTTTTTTTGTTGGCACTGGGGTTTGAACTCAGGGCCTCTCGCTGTGGATGTTCTTACCACTTGAGCCACTCCTCCAGTAGCAACAACTTTCTTAATAGAATTCCAATGTCTCAGGAAATAAGAGCAAGAATTGACAAATGCGATTGCATCAAATTAAAAAGCCTTCTCTACATCAAAGGAAACAATTATCAGAACAAAAAGACATCGTATGGATTGGGAAATGATCTTTGCCAGGTATTCATCTGACAAGGGGATTAATATCCAGAATAAAGAGCTTAAAAAAACCGAACACCAGGGTTGGTGGAATGGCTTAAGTGGTAGATTGCCAGTCTAGCAAGTGTGAGGCCCTGAGTTCAAACCTCAGCACTCCAAAAAAAAAAAAAAAAAAGCTAAAGAACAAATAATTTAATAAATCACCAAATGAACAGTTTTCAAAAGAAGTACAAATGGCCAATAAGCACATGAAGAAGAGTTCAACATCCTTAGCCACCAAAGAAATGCAAATCAAAACAACACTGAGAACATATCACCCCAATCAGAATGGCTATCGTCAGGAAACAACAACAAGGCTAGAGGTGTGCTCAAGCATTAATGTACCTGCCTAGGAAGCACAAAGCCCTATGTTCAATCCCAATACTACCGAACAACAACAACAACAACAACAAATGGTAAGATGAGTGGGGGAGGAAAGAGACCTTATACACCATTGTTTGGAATATAAATTAGTGCAGCCACTATCAAAATCAATATGGAGGTTCCTAAAAAACTAAAAATAGAACTACCATATGATTCTGCTATACCACTCTTGAGCATATATCCAAAGGAATGCAAATCAGCACAGAGTAGAGTTACCTGTCCACTCATGTTTATGTCAGCACTATTCACAATAGCCAGTTATGCAGCCTCGGTGCCCATCAACCAATGAATGGAAAAGAAAATATGGTAATATACACAATGGAGTATTGTTCAGTCATAAATAAAAATGAAATTATGTCATTTTGCAAGAAAAATGGATGGAACTGGAGATCATCATGTTATACAAAATAAACCAGACACAGAAAGACAAACATCATATTTTTCACATATGTGGAATCTAGAAAAAAGGACATGAACATAAAAGGGGGACAAGGGTAGGGACTAGCAGGATGTGGGAGGGTGGAAGGGGGAGGAGAATATGATCAAAGTTCATTGTACACATGTGTGAAAAGGTCATAACGCAACCCATTTAAAAAATATTGTGAGAAAGTTAAAAAGTTGGGGGAAGGGCTGGAAGAGAAGGAATAAGAGAATAATAAAGGAGGTAAATATGATCAAAGTACATTATGCAGATATGGAAATACCATAACAAAACTCCTCACTTTGTACAATTAATATATACTAACCAAAAATAGGGGGAATAGGTTAGTACTCAAATTAGCAGTAAAAATCAAGAAGCAGCTAAATTCCAATTATGTTGTCTAATTAGGGCTGAACACAATTTTTTTTTGGTGGTACTGGGATTGAACTTAGGGCTTCACACTTGCTAAGCAGGCACTCTACTGCTTGAGTCACACCTCCCATCCTGAACACAATTTTATTATCATTACTTGGAAATATTTTTGATATGTAAATAATATAGTCAGTGGGAAAACACCAAAAGTTATTTGTTGTCAGTACAATTAAGGTTTTAATTTAGAACATATTTTTTCACCTCTATCTCTAAGACAAATAAAAATTTGCGTGTTTAAAAAAAAGTGCTTGAGGACATTCTAGATTTATTAAGACCTTTAATGTAGGTAGTCAGGACCCAGTGAGGACAATGGGTTCCCAAGTGGGCAGTGTATTATAGAGGTTTGAGGAACAGGGCACTGGAAATCTTCTCTGACTCATTTTTATTCTGTAATACCTACATCTTCTTTCTCCATCTTTCATGTCTAGACATCGAGCATCCAACAGCCAGATCATGTATGATGGTATGACTTGGATCCACAAAACCTCTTAAGCATCCAGCTCAGAAAAGCAAACCACACTCTATTGCAGCAGCTGGCTCTGATGGCCAGGATTTTCTCAATGACTATTAGCTTCTCCACTTTTGCACTCGTTTCCCCACTCGGTTTCTATTTCAGGTAACCAGAAAAACCCAAATATCCTCCCCTAGCCAATCTTATAGGTGCCGCCCTTCTAGTTAGCTGTGTCCTGCTTCCCCATGTTAACAGCCCCCAATCAGGGCACATCTGAAACCTTCCCTGTTTTTCACCCCCTACAATCCCCCTTGTAGTGCAAGGGATTGAATCTACAGCCTCAAACATGGCAGACAGGCATTATACCATGGAGCTACTCCCCAGCCTTCCCTGTAGTCACATGCTGTGCAAGGATGTTTGCATTTTCATCAACCACCACCTATGTGGCAGTGTTCTCATGACAGTATATAGCCTAGTGAATTGTAGCCACCCTAATTTGTACAGGTAGACATTAGGATGTTTCATGACTATGTAATCACTTCTCAGACATTAGCCACCTCGATAAGCAACGCAGGACTGAACTGCACAAGGTTTTCCTACATCTGTGCCTGCTTTTGACGCTGTCAAAATGCAAATGATGGTGGTTAACTCCCTTGATATAACAAGTGCTGAATAAATAGCCTTTGACTGCTCTCCTTGGGATGGTATTTGTTTCCTTTCTTCCTTTTCTCCCTCCTTCCCTCCCTTCCTCTCTACTTTGTCCTAGTACAGTTTGCATTTTAGCAGGGCAGACAGATTGTAAAGTACATTGTGGTTAGTATTGTGCGTGGTCTCACTGGAGTGGTTTCTGGGGAACTGTGGCAGGGTGGGGGATGGGCAGCAGATGGAGGGGGCTCAGGACTGACCTTGGTGGAGAAGGAGTCATACTTCTCCAGTATCTGGCTGCAGCTTCTGCTCTTCAGCTCCTCCACAATCTGGGCAGGGAAGGAGGCAGGGAGGACATGCTGGTGAAGGTCAGCCCCACACACACCCTCAGCGCCCCCCTAGCCAGCCCCCATGCTCCATACTTCTATTTGTGAATGTGTCTGAGCTATACTTTATGAGTTCCAAGACTGTCCCAGACTGGTGTGTCCTGATGGTGAAAATTTCACCTCTACTCACAACATATGTGTAATGATTGCAGCTCATGCTCCACTGACAGCCTTGGATTTCCCTGAAGTGGGAAATCTGTCTCCTTGTCCTGTGTTGAGGATACTTCTATAGGCCTCTGAGGTCACTGTGAAGGCCTTATCCCACTGAACTGTTGAGTGAGGCTGGACTAGGGTCCCAAAGCTGGGCATGTTAATGCTGGAAAGGAAGGACAGCTGAGCAGAGGCCTCCCATGAGAACTCTCTGTCCCCACAGAACTCAGCTGTCACGCTGAGGTCCCTCTAGGCAATGGGTCAGGGAAGACAAAGGCACTGTCCGTACTGAGTAAACATTAGCCATACAGAAACAAGGTGGGTAGGTATTCAAGGCCGGGCCCATCACTGTATAGATCACAAGTCTAGAATGATGACAGCTAAAGGCACTGAAGATGGAGAAGAGAGATGGCAATTATCTTGCCCAGGGTAACGTAGCATATTCAATACAGAGCCCAGCTTGTAGGTCTTGCTCTGCCATGATGATTTCAATGGCAGTTAGGCTTGTACTTATCTGCACGTGTGGAGACATTTGGGGTATAAGAATGCACAATGACTGCTGTGCAAGTGGCTGAGATGGGAGACAAGGGAGGTAAGGCAGATGAAGGCCAAGCTGGTGGAGTGCTCCTGGAAGGCCTTCCTCTCCACTTAGAAAATCAAAGAGAAACATAAGATAGCTCTGAAGAAAGTGATAGCCTGTTCCTTGCCTTGGCTTACCTTCTGCAGTGATTCATCAAAGAGCTTTTCAGCTGTCTTCCCTATCTCATCTGCTCTCACTCGGTAGCCAAGCAGGCCAGGGTCAGCCTGCACATCCCCTGTGCGCTGACGCACTCCATTAACCAGTACCCAGGTCTGGTTGTTATGTTGGTAGAACTCCTGGAGGGTCAGCCCAAACTTCCTAACAAACTCACGAGAGAGCCTGTGGAGTGAATCAGAGACTATTCAAGTATGAACAAAGGAAGCCACCAGCTCTTCCTATTCCCTGTGTTCATATCCTGTCTCCCTTGGATTCACTGGGTCCACTCCTGGTCTCTTTCCACAGAAGGGATGCTAGGCCTCCTGGTCACTATGCCAGGCTAACAGTCATGTGGGCAGAAGAGACCTGGCCTCCATTCTTGGAGTCACACCGTGTCAGGCTGGTGCTTTATGCTGGCTGGCTTGCTCTTACTTTGTCTGAGAAATGTAGTTTTCAGATGTTCAGGTCTGGCTGCTCTAAGTCTTGGAGAGACCATGATGACTGCACAGGGAGTGTCCTCTGGGTTCATCTTCCCTGGAGGCTGTGTATATCATTCTGAGCCATCTGGGCTGCATTTTCCAAATCCCTTCTCTCCCCTTCAGGATGACCCTCCCCATCCAAGGGCTCCCATGAGACACCATACTCTCTCAGAAAGATGCTCAAATTCCCATCATTTACAAACCTAGCCAACTGCTTTTCACTTTCCAAGATGTTGACCTCTCCCAATTTTCTTTTATGATCCTCTACACAGCCTCCTAGGCAGTCAGAGAAGGTGAAGGTATAATCATTATGTGGATTAAAACATTGAGTCTGGAAGAGATTCCTAAGTAACCCTGGAGCTATGAATTAGGACAGATCCCAACCATTTGGTTTCCAGGAAAGGACTGTACCCATTGTTGTCCCTCATGGCCTCGGTGCTAACAGCCCATATCCCAGCCTTCCTCATCTGCCCCTACTTCACTCAATCATACCTGTGTGTGAGAGGGATTCTCATGGCACCCAGTTCCATGTACCACTGTGCTCCAGGAACTCTGAGGGTCTCTATTCTGCCACCGACACGTCCTGAGGCCTCTAGGACAGTCACCTAGAAAAACAGCCACTTACTGGACTCAACAAGACTGGCTACATCCTCTTTACATAACAACCTCTTCCTCCCTCCTGGCAAGCCCAGATTTACCCCCATCCTTGCCTCTTTCTGAGGTCTCTCTCTATTATGGGGCCAGACCACTTGCTTACTTACCCCTTCTGCCCAAGGCCTAACTCCTGGTCTCTGCTCCCTAACAGTGTCCACTACATGCCCTCTCACCACCCTGCTCATTGCCCATGTTTCCCATGGGAAACTCTTCCCAAGCTCCATCATGTACCTGATGGCCAGCATCCTGCAGGATCTTCGCAGCAGTGAGCCCAGCCATACCTGCCCCAATCACCACTATGTGTTTCCTTTCAGCTGTCTTCCCAAGTCCGTCTTGAGCCAGTTGAACCAGCTCTTCATACTTGGGGTCCTCAAAGCATTTGAGGAGCTGATTGTTGAAGGCCTGGGTACCCAGGCTCAGCACAGATAGGAGGGTAAGAGCCAGCCAGCCTGTGAACATAGCTGTGGAGATGACAGCCAGGCAAATGACTGAGGACCAAGGAAGTCCAGTCTTAATCCTTGATCAGAGGAGGATTATATCACTGGACTTGTGATGCAACATTCTGGTACTCTTGTCCCTTTCCTTCTTTACTAGACTGTGCATTAGTCATGGGGCCTTCCTCCTACTTGCTATCAGTTGCTCCAAATGGCCAGCAAATTACCACCCCCACACATCCATGTGTCAATGTTCCCTACTCAGGAAGCATGCAGACTGCATATGTGTTCTCATTTCAGTAAGCTGGACTGTCATGCAGACAGGTGAGGTATATGTCATCCACCCACATTGGCTTTTCCTATTTCCCTCTTGGGGTTGATGAATATTATAGTGTGAAGACCCTAACTCACTGTAGCTATGGAAGGACAAGGTAAGGATGAAAAGCCTGAGACATTAAGAAGTTGATGGTCTCTGAGTTGTAGATAGTAGGCTACTAGCTTCCCAAGTCCCAGTGAGACACCACGGGACCATTGTATTTAAAGAGTTTGCCAGATGGTGCACCTGAATTTCTGCATGTGTTTTTTTATTTTTTTGGTACTAAGATTTGAACTTTGGGTTTCATGCCTGCTAGAGAGGTGTTCAGTTTATTTTATTTATTTATTTATTTTGAGACAGAGTCTTCCGATCTATTTGCCCAGACTGACTTCAAACCACAATCCTTCTGATCTCTGCCTCCCCAAGTAGCTAAGATTACAGACATGAGCCACCAGTACCCAGCTGCATTTGTCTTTTGATGTGCTTTCATCCCATTCTGGCTCAGATCTGGGAGAAATGAACCTTCCCTTCCCTCTAGGAGCCAATAAAAGGTGTGTGTTTTGTGATTTTTGTGTTCTTGTTTTCAAAGCTATTGTCCATTATGGGCTGAATTGTGTCTTCCCAAAACTCTTACATTGAAACCCCTAGTATCTTATAAAGTGATTCTGTTTACAGATGGTGGCTTTTGAAAAGGTGATTCAATTAAAATGAAGTCATTTGGGTGGAACCTATTCCAATATGACTTATGAGAAGAGGAAATATCACACAGAAAGAAACCAAGGATGTGTACACACAGGGGAAATACCACGTGAGAACATAATGAGAAGGCAGCTATCTACAAGCCAAACAGAGGCAATAAAAAGACCAGACCTGCCACCAACAACTTGATCTGGAACACCCAGCTTCTAGAATGGTGAGAAAATAAATCTCTGTTGTTTAAGCCACCCCATCTGTGGTATTTCATTATGGCAACCTGAGCCAGCTAATACAGTCTTTTCCACTGTATCTGTCCCCATGGTGAAGAGAAAAGGGGTTGGATCTTATTTAGCTCTTTTAGGTCACATTCACTGCCACAGTTCTTTGAAAAAAATGTGTATTGAGTTTTCATGTAAATTTACATAGGTAATGTGTGAATATACCCTGGTGTCCAATCTCAGCATTTATATTTAATTTTGGCCATCTTTCTCTCTAGATTTGACATAGAAATGCTATAATGACATTATAGAAAGGAAAATACTGAAGTATCAAGTCCGTCCTCTTGGCTCACTCTCTTTCACCCCATCTCACTCATCACCATTAGCAGTTTACCACACTCCTGTTCAATTCTTGCACATGTGTTAGATAATTGCTCAATATCCTGTCTTCTTCATCTTTTTTTTTAGTGGATCTGGAGCTTGAAGTCAGGTCATTGTGCTTGCCAAACAGGTATTCTACCACTTGAGCCACACCTCCAGTCCATTTTGCTGTGGTTATTTTGGAGATGGGATCTCATGAACTTTTTTGCCCCAGCCAGCCTCAACCCACAATCCTCCCGATCTCAGTCTCCCAAGTAGCTAGGGTTATAGGCATGAGCCATGGGTGCCTGGCTCTGTCTTCTCCATCTTGAATCAGAAACATGTCCCTTCTACATAGAGTTGGCACTTAGAGAAAGCTAAACATATTTGTTGAATACAAGGGTGGAGGAATGGACAGATGGAATGACTAAGAGATGGGAAGATGGGTGGGTAAATAAATGAGTGGATGAATGGACAGAAAGAAGGATGTGAAGGATACATGGGTGGATGCTTTGGGACTCCTGGGATATCTCTTCCAGCCTCTGCATTTCATTACAGATTCCAGGCTGAAGATAGTGCCCAGCCTGGACTAGTCTTCTTGAGTCCCTCAGTCCACCTTTATTTACCTTGTTTGTGGCTGCCTTCCAGAAGGCCTCCTCTTCTTCTCCAGCCTCTTTTTGTGAACCTGTGTATTTGGTTTTCTAATGTCTTTTACTTACATCCCCCCCACCCCAGAATTCTGCCCTTCACCCTCTGAATTTACCCATCTCTTCTTTCTTTAAGGAATGGGGGTAGGATTTATCCCTTCTCTCCATGAATTGACAAAGTAGAGTGTGACTCATTTTGAAATCTTAAGTCTTGGCCTTTTTCTCTTAGCTCCCTTGTGATGTTTGTGTATATATTTTATTATTTTTTTGATTGCCATGTATTGATTGTACATATTAATAGTGTCACTATTGAGAGATTCACTGTGATATTTCAACACATTCACACAGTGTGCACTAATTGTATTAACTGCATTGCTGTACTGCTAAAAAAGTACTCCTAAAAAAGTCAAAGGATGCGTGGCTGGGCCTTCTGGGAAACACAAATGCTTTTGAGCTGTTTTCCCAATAGTGGAGGAAGTTTTCATGGACCAACTCTCATTCTCCTATTGTTTTCCCTGCCCTGGAAAGTCAGCCCATTAGGGCAGAGAGCTCCTCTCTTACTGTAGAGGAGAGCAGAACAAAGCACCATTGAGCTTCAGGAGCTGTCAAAACAATCTAGTACAGTCTCTGATTTCACACAGAAGAAAGAGATCAGGTTGTGATAGCCCTGGTGACACATAGGGATTTACTATTTGCAAAGCAAACTCAACACTAGACCAACTCTAGTATCCCTTCACTCATTCTTTATCCTTCTGAACTAATCAAACATCTGCCCTAAAGTTGCTGTTACCAAGCCAGACACAGTGGTTGACTTCTGTAATCTCCACACAAGAGGTGGAGATTGGGAAGATTGCAGTTCAAGGCAAGCTCAGGCAAAAGAGTTAGTGAGAACCCATCTCAACAAAACAAGCTGGGCTTGGTGGTTTGTGTCTATAACACCAGCTATGCTGTAGGCATAGGTAGGAGGATTATGGTCCAAGCAGGGTGGTGTAACCCAAGGCAAAAAGATTGGAGGTGTGGCTCAAGTGGTAAAGTGCTTTCCTAGCAAGTACAAGACCCTGGAGTTCAAACTCAGTAATGTCCCCAAATGAATAAACAAAGTTTCTGTCCTGACTGAGGTAGTGGAGCCACTGAGCAGCCAAGATGCCTGTTCTGAGAGTCAGGAACTAGGTTTCCCTGTTTACCATGAATAGATTCTATGCCTGGTATGGCCACAGCTACAATATGGTTTGTTGGATGAATAAATAAAGCCTGTGAGTGAGCAATAGAATATGGAAACCTCACATCCTAAATCTGTAAGAAATTCTCATTCATTGGTGGAAGCTGAAAAAGCTAAAATGTTAACCTCAAAGAAGAAGAGAGAAGAGCAGTGATGACTAAAGACTAGGAAGGGGGAGAGAGGATAGAGGAGGTTGGACAAAGGTTATCAAAATACAGTCAGATAAGAGAAGTAAGTTCTAGTGTTATACAGCAAAGTAGGGTAACTATAGTTAACATTATATATCTTATGATGAACCAGAAGAGGGGAATTTGAAGACTCCAAACACTAAGCAATGCTGAATGTATAAATAGATGAAAATGCTAATTACACCGAACTGATCATTATACACTGTATATATGTAGAGTTACCACACTGTATCCCATAAATATGCATAATTATTATGCATCAATTAAAAAAATTCTGTCCCTTTGTCTCTTCCAAAATACACTTGTTTCCATTATTGTCTTGGAAAGCAGAGTTTCTTTGGGCATAGAGTCAGGGCAGTAGGGATGAGAGAGGAGGAGTAGGAGGAGGGGGAATGGTCCAGAATCTCAACACATTTCTCAGGTCCTGAGGAAAGAGTTGGCTCCAGCTCCTGCTGGGGCTCTGAAGTCTGTCTGTCTGAGAGATACAGGGCTGAGTCAGGAGATATATTTGTCTCCTGCTCTGAGTTTCCCAGCTCCAACTCCTTGAGTTATACCCTAACAGGGGACCTGGGTCCTGGGAGGAAGCAGGTACAATCTGGTATTCTTCTTTTTTTCTTTTTGGTGGTACTGGGGTTTGAACTCAGAGCCTCATGCTTGCTAGGCAGGTGCTTTACCACTTAAGCCATTCACTCTGGTGTTTTTTCTCCGCTGGCCAGACATGCCTGCCTGGCCTCCCACTGTTCCGGATTAAGTGGGGCCTTATTCAACCAGTTTCTTTGGCTATAAATCCTAAAGTACCTTTGAGCCCTTCTTCTCTTGTGTCTCTTTGTCCAGGGTTTCCAGCCTCGTAGCTCTGTCTCCTCCAGGTCTCTCACCTCAGTGCCCTCCTGTGTCACTTAGGCCCCCTCCCTCACCTTGCCTGAGGGGCTGTCGCCCCCTCCATGGTACAGGTGAGTCTTTCTTTGTTTGGCTACTGCTGCTCTCTCTGCTGGGATTTGAACCCAAAGCCACACCCCCAGACTCAGACCCAAACTTACTCCTAGGATCTTTGCCCTCCTCTTTCTTAAAGCTCTGTTTTTCACGGTTATCTGTTTATTTAGTCTGCTAGCTGATGAAGTTCATATCTGGGAACTTACTTTATTAAGGATGACTAGTGTAGTGTTGAGTACTCAGTGGTGCTCAATGAGTGCTTCATCAGTGAACACATAAATGAGGTCAGAGGCTCTATGCCCAATGCCTTGGCCAGCGGGGAGACTGGTTCTCAATCTGATACCCTCTGGAAGAGGCCCATCCTTTTCTAATTCAAGCAGCCTCTTTCTCTTTCCTTTCCCTCCTCTTAGATTTAGCTCCTGCTAAAAGGAGCCCTTCTTACTTCCTCCTG